AAAATGAAAATGGAGAACCAAATATACTAAACAACGCACATAGATTTAGAGGCTCTTCAGGTGTTGTAATGCAATGGGTCATTCAGGGGGTTGATGGTCGCTTCAGCTGCCAAAAGATATATACTTCCCCAGCGGGGAATCGAACCCCGACCGCCTCGGCGCTGTGAAGCGTGTTGTGCTCGTGAAAGCGAGGTATCCTAGCCGTTGGACTACTGAGGATGGGCTGCGGGAGATCCATAGTGTATTAATATATCAGTAATCTATATCCGTACCACAAATGTTTATTACACTCACCCCCCAGAACGCCCCCGATGAACCCCTGTAAATAGTTCACTTGTAGCTGATTCGTAAGTATTGACATCATGCTGGTGGAAAACCGTCGAGTGCACAAAACCAGCATCCATATTGCACGAACATGGCGACCGGGACTTGAATAGCAGCAGGGTGTTGTAAGACGCATGGAATCGGATGGGCTTGAGAAGCAGCCGCGTTCGGTGGAAATAGTAGACATTAATCATGCCGGAACAAAGCGGACTCGCCGACGAACCTCCCTTTTGCCGACTCCCCAGAACGCTACTCGCCGGCAGATCTTGATCGCATGTGGCCAGCTTCAGATGAGCTGGAAGAGCCTTGCGGTAAATTGAAGTCGGTTTGTTTTACCTGTGAAAAGTGTCAATCACATTTTGGCACGGGAAGTTGCAAGAACGCCTCATGCCTTCATTTTCTGGGCGCCATTGCTCCAGACTCTATATACGTGTCTATAGCGAAGTACCTCCGTCGGTATCATGGAAGCAATGAGCTCAATTCCCCGCACCAACTTTGGACCGCTTGATCGTGGCGAAATTGGTTTGAATAACATAATCGGGCCGCCAGCCAAGAATGATCAACCTCCGCCTCTGCATCGAATCACATAGGGACTTCTTCTAGCCTGTAAGCGGCTGATTATGACCTCTGACAAAAAAAATTCACCCATTGGGGAAATGGGTATTTTCGTCTACTCGGAATAATGGCTCTTCTCTCTCGACTTGAGCCCGACAGTTAGAGCCTGATCACTGTGGAATATAAGGATGGGCGTCTACGAAGCCCAAGGAACCTCACAACCGTTGTGTTGCTCCCTTTCGTCCGATTTGCTCGAGTTCTCGTCGTCAAGATGCGGAAAGGACATCTTCTTTTGCTCTCGGCGTCTATCATCTCCACAGTCCATGGCCTTGGTAGCTCCTGCTCTGCACCTCTAACTCCCAACGCAGTGGCTGGAGGTAAGATGCGTACTGTATGAGGCATTCTCCACGTTCTTCGCTGACAAGCCAAGTAGCCCCCAGCTGGATGCAGACTATTACCCGCCGTGGCACATCTGCTTATAACACAAACCCAGGTCCAGCCACATACAAAGTATATCGTAATGTCATGGACTACGGCGCGAAAGGAGGTCAGTCGATAATCAATGGACGCTGAGGTTCCCTTCTAAGCAGGCTTCGAATCAGATGGCGTAACCGATGATACCGCTGCAATAAATAGTAAGGGGATGTCATGCTAGAAGAGCCCATCAGTCCCTGATTGCCTTTTGCAGCCGCCATCTCTGATCAGAACCGTTGTGGCAACGGTTGTGCGTCTAGCACTCTCACTCCAGCCATCGTTTTCTTTCCTTCTGGAAATTATCTTGTTTCTGGATCTATGTAAGTCAACCCGTCGTCTATTGCACGCGGGGCTAAAGTTCTTGCCCATTAGTATACCTTTCTACCTCACACAACTGGTCGGGGATGCTACCAATCCTCCGACGATTACTGCCAAGGCTGGGTTTGGAGGCTCCGTCATCGATGCGGGTGAGCGCCACATCTTATCATCGCAATTTTGTGGTCTAACAATGTTCCTGCCTGTAATAAGATCCTTACACTGCAAGTGCGTGCTTATTTAACCCGCTTCTTCGCCGCACCTAGCTCATAAAATCTGATATTCGTTCAGACGGACAGTACTGGACTAACCAAGTGAGTAGACTATATTCGTGCCTCACATTAAATCAAGACTAATCTCGCCCCTATTCACCAGAACAACTTCTTCAAGTCAATTCGTCACTTCGTCATTGACCTTACTCGCACCTCAGCTACGTCTGGCGCGACCGGAATTCACTGGCAAGTTGCCCAAGCGACCACATTAGTGGACATCGTCATCAATATGAACACCGATCCGTCGACGAACCATCAGGGTATCTTCATGGAGAATGGATCTGGCGGTTATATGAATGGTCTGATCATGAACGGAGGGCAGTATGGGCTCAACGTCGGGAATCAGCAGTTCACGGGTGAATTCAAGCGTTCTCCAATATTTTCCTCTTCGATATTACGAGGACTCCTAACAAGAACTTATGATATTAGTACGAAACCTGACGGTCAACGGGGCGCGAACCGGTATCTGTGAGTCAAATTCAGCCTCCACGCTCGTACATATCCTCACGCCAGAGTCACACCAGATGCGAACTGGGCTTGGGGTTGGACGTTTCAAGACCTAAACATCAACAACTGTGCTATCGGATTCGAGATCAACGCTGGTGTGGGTTCAGAGGTTATCATTGACGGAAACATCAGCAACACTCCGATCTTCGTTCGAACGCTGGACGTAAGCTATTTGATAGCTGAACTGTATGACATTATGTCTGACCGCCTTGGTCCCTCAGACGTCCGATGGAGACACCGTGGCGAGTGCGGGCTCAATTGTTCTCGACAATATCCAGTTCTCGAACGTCACGTACGGTGTCGTTGACAGCTCTAATGTAGTGCGATTGGCAGGTGGGACGACGACGTACGTTTTGTCGCTTACCTAGCAAGGCTATGATCTCATCTCCGTCAATTTTCAGCATCCGTGAATGGTTTCAAGGTGATCTCTATGCCGGGACTGGCACTACCCCGAGCTATCAACAATCCTTGGGAGCCAGCCCGCCTGAAAAACCCTCCGCACTTCTCGACTCGAATGGCAAGATCTATTCCAGATCTCGGACCGACTACCCGCAATATGCCGCCAGCGCCTTCGCCAGTGTCAAAGCAGCAGGGGCTATTGGAGGTCAGCAATCTTGCAGCATAGGGCATATCGGCATGAGACTAACGTAACTCTGGTGATGACAGATGGCGTGACGGATGACACAGTTGCTATAAAGAGCTTCATCGCTGCAAATTGGGGCTGCAAGATTCTCTTCTTCGATTCTGGAACGTACATGGTCACCGATACTATCCTCGTCCCCACCGGCAGCATTGTCGTAGGGGAAGTATGGACGTTGATCATCGGAGATGGCGCCAACTTCGCCGATCAGAACAATCCTAGGGCCGTCATCCAAGGTATGCTCTGTGGAGCATCAACTTTTCGAATGCGATCTTAATATAGTCCCTATGGCAGTCGGCGCTCCTGGCGACAAAGGCCTGGTCGAAATTTCCGATATGGTCTTCTCTGCGCGAAGTGGTTCTGCTGGGTGAGAGATCAAGCAAATCTATCCAATTATTCATTTTCTAACTAGTGGAGGAAACTCGTGCAGCGCTATTATTGTGGAATGGAACACTGGAGACCAAGAAGGTCAACAGGCGACCGTTGCTGCTTGGGACGTTCATATCCGTCTAGGGGGGTTTACGGGGAGCAATCTCCAACTTGGAAACTGTACGTCACCGGAAAGTCTCTGATAAGAAACATCATGGGCTCCGGCTGAATGATATGATGTGATGACAGGCGCGAAGCTTTCCGGGCACGCCATAAATCCTTGTATCGCCGCGTTTATTGGTCTGCACATCACTTCTCAGGCAAGCGCATCGAGCGTGCCAGTCATTGAAAAATCTTGCTAATCGATCGCGTCTCTCCATCCTTCCAGGCTAGTGCCTATCTCGAAGGTACATGGGTTTGGACAGCAGATCATGACTTGGACGATCCAGACCAATCGTACGACATTGTTCCTGTTATACAGAGCGCTCATGGCTTACGCATCAACTACAGTCAGATTGATGTTTACACTGGTCGTGGTATCGTGACAGAGACCGTCGCTGGCCCGGTCTGGCTTATCGGTAAGGCTTCTCCGCACTTTTGAACTTGGCCATGTCAATGTAATCTCGCCACAAGGTACTGCATCGGAGCATGCTTCCATTGTTCAAGTAGGTCATACATGGTCGAAACAAGCTTATCCAAGAACTAACATACACCCTGGCGCCCAGTATAACTTTGCCAACGCACGCAATGTTTACGCTGGATTCATCCAAACGGAAACCGCTTACTACCAACCTGAAGTCAGCCCTTTTCCGAGTCTCTGTTAGACTGCGCGATACTGATTAGTTGCACCTTAGCCTCCCGCGCCAGATCCATTCTCCATCAGCACTACATACAGTGACCCAACGTTAACGAATGGAAACTCCGGATGGGGTCTTGCCATTGGCGGCACTGCGAGCTCTGTCTTCATTTATGGGGCGGGTCACTATAGTTTCTTCCAGGTAGTCGAAATATACACTCGTCATACGCGACTAAGGCTCACATTCCTTTTGAAAATGATTAGAACTGGAATGGCACATACTGTTTAACTCCTGATAACTGCCAGAATGCAATGGTAAAGGTTGCTTCCACGGCCACTGATACGTACATCTTTGGACTGTCAACGGTTGGCTCAACAATCATGCTCGTCGTAGATTCGACATCTGTTATACTCGAATCAGATAACGCCGATGGGTAGGCCGGGGCGAATAGTCCCCGTTATATGATTCTCTACTGATGCATATTTATGCTTAGCTTCGCGAGCACTTTTGCCTTGTGGAAGAGTAGCGACACCGGCGGGGTTGGAACGCCCCCTCCATTCACCACCTCCCTCATACCCACCACTACCACTACGACTTCTACCACTACGAGTACCACCTTCCCGGCCCCCACGGCCATGGCATATCAAGGTTGCTGGTCAGATCAGGCCAATCCTCGTACCCTGGGTCTGTACAGCACTTCACAAGCAAATATGACCAACTTCCTTTGCCTCACAATCTGCGTTCAGCTCGGATACATTTATTCTGGCACTGGTCAGTATTTTAATGTTGTATTGACACGCTGCTGACGGTCCTCAATTCCAAATGCCCGAATGCAGAATACTATACTCAGTGCTACTGCGGGAACTCGCTCAGCTTGGGTACACTTGATCCTGTAGACTCAGACTGCAACGAAAAATGCGGCGGCGGATCTGATATGTGCGGCGGCGGATATCTCCTATCAGTATG